GTATGAGTCTGAAAGCGTGAGAGTCACGCCAGATGTATGAGAGTCTGAAAGTGTGAGAGTCACGCCAGATGTATGAGAGTCTGAAAGTGTGAGAGTCACGCCAGATGTATGAGAGTTGGCAACCCTGCTGTCACTCTGGCTTGCAGCAGATGGTCCAGACTGATGCTAGATAGAGCCTTTATAAAGGCCAGTATTCTATGGGTATCAGAGCGCAATTTCAGTACTGACAATATGGAGTCACAGTTTGAGTGGCTTTTATATCTGTGCGCCCTGTGGGCCCCACTGTCATTACAATACCAGAATTATGCGCAGGACCCCAAGGCCTAGTTACACTTCCTTGACACATCCTCCAGTCTGTTCATTGTTTCACCAAGGCTTTTTTCTTTAAGATGACATAATGTATATCATAACAATTTATTTCAAAGTAGCCTGTGAGACCAGGCACTGCTCAGCAGAGCGACAATGCCACTAGTTCATGGGAGGAGAAAAAAACACAGAGTGACAGTGAAACTACCCTACACTATAAATGGGTCCAACTCGGAATGTAGACATTTTAGCAAGTGAGCAGTAGCTGGAAATAGGGAAAGTGGGGAATCCCCTGGCCTAGAGGGGGGGGGGGCAAGAATGTAGTATTAGAGCACTATCTACCGTGCTGTCAATCAAAGGGAAGACAGACAGAACATAGGCAGAGATAATAAAAAAAAACCTGGGCATGCAAAGGCTTCTGAGGAAAAGAACGAGAGACACCAGGTGAGAGGAGAGAAAGACCAAGAACCTTACAGGATACACCGAATCACGCGTGATAGTATATGCGGGGGATTATGCTTCGTGTAGGTAGACAAGTGTAGCCCTTAAAATACACAGGGTATGAGTAAGAATGGTGGGTCTGACCACGTGACAGGTTCCTTCCTCTCTGTGTGCTCCAGAGAAACTGACTCACTCAGGGTCATTCGGCGCCTGACTTTACAGTTTGGACCTATGGATAATACACAGGCAATGCTGTTTGCAAACTGCAGGTTTTCCACAGCAAGCATCTCTACACTATTTGTGGGGACAACAAGTCACCACCTGACAATGTCCCAAAAGGGAATTTATCTGTTTGCTGGCAGTACCGTGGCGGATTTTTGAAGCGAGTTATGCTCTGATGTCCTAAACAACCCTGATTTAGAAAAAGTTACATCCTCATGAGAAGGAAGTCATGACATCTGATAGTAGTTACAACATCAACTCCAAAGAACAACGAGTTGTACAAGTTCCATCCTGCTATTTTTTCCCTGTATAAAAGAATTTCTAATAAAAGCGCTCTGTTTTCTTTCCAATTTACATCATAATCTTCTTTTCAGGGAACATCTCGAATGGATATTTGAGGAATATCGAGATCAAAAACAGTTCAAAGAACAGAGAAAATTCACAGGAAGAACCAGCAGTGTGTTGAAAGCCAGTATAAAATTTGAATTTCTAACTGAAATTCATGCAAATAAGCCTTCATGAATAGAGAATGTCTTTGTATTATAGCTTTACTACAAGAGCAGCAAAATAAATGTCATATATATATATATGTGTGTGTGTGTGTATATATATATATATATATATATATAAAGAAAAACCAAATAAGCAACCAATTCTTTTTATGGAACAAAATTCAAGGGGAATTGTAAAATTCTTCCATGACTCAAGAGCTGGGATCTTTGCTCTAACTGATTTCATACTGTTAAATATAGCAATGCAAAGCTTATTTACAGTATATTCTTCTGAAAACGACAGTTTGAAACCAGCATCAGCTTTTAACATAGGGGGGGCCACCTGTTGCAGACCAGCTGCTCAGCCACCCACTCCCCCCCACCCCACTTTAGCGGCGTCCCCCGCCCACGACACCCTGAGCACTTTCATTTCACAAAAAATAAATAAGTATGACAGAAAGGGATTTTCCGAACAATATTTACAGAGTGTGACACCCTTATATTTTACTGCTGGACACTTCCTCCAGCAACGGGATGGTGCTCAGCTGTGATAATAATCTTTCACTTTGCCTGTCATACAAGTTTGAATATAAATACAGAGGAATGTTGTCTTATCCCATCTTACTCTCCTAGGAAACGCACAAACAGGTGAGAGTGAAGATTCAGCTGGAGCGCAGGAATTTTGGGGTTAAGGTTCTTACTTAAAGGCCGAACAGGGATATGATCAGTCTGCCAGCTACAGCATTTGAATCTGTGACCTTCCAAGTTTGAATCCATAGCCCGCACACTGAGGTTTAACACAACATGATACAAAGCAACATTTTAAGACCTTCAAGCAACATGAAAGCTTGTGCAATACCCTCAAAAAAGTAGTTTCTTTACAGTTGTAGGTATTTAGTCTGATACATATGCACATTCCTGTATCTCTCACAGTGATAATACTACAGTGTTTCAAAAATGATGAGAGAGAGAGGCAGTGCGACTGGTCTCATGTGTTTGGTATTAAGAAAAAACAGGAAGCTCAGGTATGTCCAGCCAGAACTTCAAACATTACAGGTTTCTTTGTGATCTCACTGTGAGAAACACCCAAGAAATGCAGATGAAGATAAATGCTGACATTCCTTAGATTCTGCAATGAGGTGATTGCAAAGGGAATGCTACTGCGACAAAACATATTTGATGCACGAGAATGAGCAATTACTTTGTACAAAACATGAAAGTGGGGAAAAAATCTGCTGTTTGAAAATGGTTGTTTCAATTACTCTTTTTGGAAAAGGGGAATGACTTAATGTCATGGTCCTTTGGAACATCATAATTTTTAAGTTGGTGTGTCGAGTCATACTCTTGAGAGCTATGAGTTGAAGCATTCTTGCAAGAGTACTGAGTCTCATTTGGAGCCAGGTTGTTGCTCAGAAATCAAGCATGAAATCTCACTTTCACAAATTCAGACTCTACAGGTTTTAATACAATGGACCCTTCAAATCTCTGTGCCACATATAATGACGGGACTGTCGACCACAGAGCCGGAGGCCGATTGTGACATTGAGGCCACACGTGTGTGTGAGTGCGTACGCATGCCTGTTCCTCTCCGTGGGCCCCGCACACTCACCAGCACCGCATTGAAACGCTGCTCCAGCTCGTCCTCTGGGGGCATGGGCGACCTGGGGGGGGCGGGCTGCTTCTGTGGGACCGCCTGGGGTAAGCTCGCCCTCATGCTCCTGGGCTCTGTCCCAAGGGGCATCTCCATGCTCCCCGCAGCGTTCCCCATGACTGCGGCAACTCACGAAGCCACACGCTGATAGCCGAATGGGCTCCCAAAGCTCACGGTAGTTCTTCAGAAACACGTGTCTTAGATCCCAGGAGACAAGATCCAGGTAGAAGAATGACAACAACACAATGGTAAAATTCCAGTAAACAGCCAAACCTACGGAGGAGAAATGTCCAGGCAGGCCTTTCACAGCTTCCTGTGTGAGACGTGGCTCGATGTGTCAGCCACAGCTGGCCTCAGACACCTTTCTTGACCCCAAGGGAACAGTCCAAGAACACGCTGCAACATTGTAACTAGTTTCTTGTCTTCATTTTCTCTGTCAAAATGATAAGACGGTGGCCAAAAAGATCTGAAACTCCTAGGCTAAAAAAAAGAAAGAAAAAAAAAAAAACCAGAAGTCCAACCTGTCACACCTTCACGTAGCTGCTGAAGCTTGACCGAGAGAGGAAGTCCTTGGTGAGAGGAAGAGCAGGGAGCTGTGTTTTGGTGTGTCACACTCGCTGCAGCGCCACACACCACATAGGAAAGGAAAAAGAAGAAGAAGAATAAGAGCCAACTGCCGGCTTCCTGTGCGTAACAGAAACTCAGACGCACAGTGCCAGCGGGCTGCTGCGGGCCAGCCCGAAGTGGCGAGTGGAGCCGAGGGTGACGACATGGGGACCGCTGTCTCTGGAGGGGGGTCTTCGCACAGGGCTGTGGGAGCCGGGCCCTCTGGGAGTCATTCTGGAATTAAGCAGAGGCGACTAGGGGGTGCTGGGTGGAAGAGGCAGGGATGAGCATCTACCAAGCAGAAACTGCCTGGCTGCAACTGGCAGGCAGCACATGCAGCTCGCGCCTGGAAGAGCGAGGCTAGCCGCGCAGCAGGTCGCTGGGTCCTAGTGCCCTCCTTTTGTTTTGGTCCCCTCTGGGGGGGGGGGGGGGGGGGGGGGGGGGGGATGGGGGTGTGCTGCGAAGCCAATCTTACATACAGTTAACACGATACAGCCAGGTCAGCAAACCCTGATTCTTGCAGTCAGCATTAAATGATACTGTGACGGTAGTAATTATTACCAAAACGATACCTGTGTGCGTTTGCATAAAAGGGCCAGTGTCAGCATTGTAAGCTAATGATTCAAACTAAGAAGCACCCTTTTTTAAACAGGACTGAGGTGATATCCACCCCATTTGGCAAACATTATTGTCAGTATCCCCAACAGACTGACAGGGGTGTACCTAGAAATTCTGGGCCCCGTGACAAAATGTCTCCTTAGACCTACCCCCCTGCCCAATTTTACATAGAAGTTTACATTTTCAAGGACCCCCAACAAGTGCTGGACTCTGCCAGAACTGTGAATCTGCCAGGGTCCCGTGTCCCACCGACACCCCTGGGGGCAAGTACCAAATATCAGAAGCAGGATAAAAACATTTCAATTCATTTTTATCAAATTAAAAAGACAATCTGCGGTATCGTCCATCCCTACTAGTTAATCAAAGGGCAGCTTTTGTAGGCTACATTTTTGGTGAAAGTGCAGACCTTCCCTGTGCTGAAACCTGTTTGATGTGCATCATAAATTATCGTGACAATACACCCCGTTTTAAAAGGAAGCTATGATTCGTAGTAGCCAAAACTCAGAAGTAAGCCTCAAAAAACCTCGCTAAGCCAGTACACCAACATTGTAGTTCACCGCTCTGGCATTTAATCATATAATACCACTAAGAAACTACTTCATGTCTAGCCATAATTTAAGGGGATTCATAAAATCTCTATTTGCAAAGATCTTCTGGTTATAACAAGCAAAATTAAAATCATTACTTTGTAGAACTCTACAGAACCTGCTACTTTTGCCCTAAGCAGAATGATCTTGGGCACATTTTCATAGAGAAGAAAAAAATGACATAGCATCTATGTGTATCACTCAAACCTTTATGAATAATTAGTGTTTCAACAGTAAGATCACAAATAGCTCCATATCCACCATAGAAATATTTAGGAAAAAAATGTATTTGGTCTCCGCTAATATTTTTCATATTACAAACCTACTGTGAGGGATACACTCTCTTAACCTGAGCCTGTCAGAACATGCTGTATTGTTTTTCTTTATCATGCATCTTGGTGTTTTCCTTACACACTGCATTCCTACTTTTCTGCTGTCTCACTTGTAACAAACCCTCCACTTGCCTCGGTTTACTTACTAATGGGTGCAACAGCTCAGGTAGAGACAGACTGCAGCTGGCAGCTGATTCCCATCTGGGTAGAGTTGCTGCCGCCTCCGCATCAGTTTCCTCCCAGCCCTCGAGTGACTCTGCAGACCCTGAGGTGCTACACGGTGACAAGAATGCCGGCTATGACCTGCGTTTCGTCTTCCCTCTGGCTCCGCCCACTGCCTGATGAACCTGCAGCTACCATTGAAGCTTGAACGTAAACAAACACTGTGCTTTCAGTTTGAGTATGTCATGCTATTCGTCAGTAATTTCCTTGAAACAACCTGAAGCCTAATATATAATTTTGACCGATATGATATTCACTTCTTGTAATATTGCTGATAACCTTTAAGGTACTTGCTAGGCTGAGGGCATGATTCAGGGAGATGAAACTTGCCAAACCTGCCTGGTCAGCTTAGGAGAATGATATTACATCATTTTTTATTCTGTGGAAAACGAAAGATAAATCTGTGGGTTAGATCTAATAATGAATTAAATACGTCACAGGCCAGTACTTGGAGACTTCTTGTAAGTCTTGAATGTGCTGAAGGACTGCTCGTCCTCAACCTATGCAAAATGGATAATGGTAAAGGAATTCAATATTAGTGCAGTGCTCTTTGTATGATATTAGAAAATGTACGTGTCCTTTGTGGACTGACCCCACATCCATGGTATACCCCTGCAGGCTCCCTGCACCACCTGGCATAGGCTCTAGGCCCCCATTGACAATGATCAGGATAAGCAGTCTGAGGATGGATATAATGAGTAATAAGATTGTACCTTTTGGTAATAATTACTATGAAATTAACTTAGCAGCACACATTAAGTGGAACAGCGTATGAAGGAAGAAATATCTAGGTGAACCCCTTTAAGAACAGCTAACAGTGAAATACTACATGACACTACATATTATTTTGCTATCTGGTTGGTGATATCAGCTTATGTTCTAGTTACTGTTGCTACAATTACAGCTCTGTTCCTCAGGGTCAGTTCAGATTCTCACTCCCTTTGAAGGCTGATCACCGAATATTCATCACCAGAACAGAATAGTGTACAGGGATAAATATATTATGAGGCGTATTTTGATACACATTACATTCTGAACACACCTGTGTGTCCAGCAGCCATGACATCATGAATGCACACAAACAGAACATTCAACTTGCTGCAAATACATCTGACATCATCTTAAAGAAGCTTATGTTAGTGATGTATTGGCAAGTGGTTAGAATAATAATTCTATATGATATTATATTACAAACTGGCATTCCGTCCAAGTTAAACCCCTGCCTTACTGTATGTCATAGGCTGCGCGGGACAGGCTTCATGTTACCCACACATTCCTGATCATTGTAATCAGTTAGAAGATGCAGGAATGGAAAAACCAATTAACGAATGAAAACATATAAACATCCAAACATACGGGCAATCTGCAAAGCGATTCTGAGGTATTGCTCTAACAACTTTCGCAGTTACCCCGTGCCTTTTCGGCGTGATAACATTTGGGATCGTAGCACATCTGGGTGGGACAGAAGTATGTTCAAACTAAAGCTGGACCAACGGGCATTAGGAGATGGATGGTTTCAGGGAAATTTGGGCAAAATCGTCTTGTATCCCTCTTCCGAGAGCATACTATGCGTAGTCCTCTTGTAACTACTGGCCATTTTTCGAAAGCGATTGTAAGCGTATAAACGTGTACTGTAAATATTAGCACTCAATATATTGCAATACCTGCTATTATTTTAGACGAGAAATAAAATGTTTAAATCAAAATAAAAATGTACCAGTCTAGTTTGAATTAGAACGCAATGGTCTTTATAATAGACACATACTGCTTTACGACCAAATAGTTGCGTAACAGCTCAATAGAGCAACACTGACAGAGTTATAGCCCCATCTAGTGGTCTGCAGGTGGAAACCTAGAAGTATGTTCCCTTTTTATACGAATATTTTTTTCTCGAACCGCTTATCCACTGTGCCAGTCCTAGCAAGAACGGGGTAGCAGGGAGGATAAATATGGTATGTCCATCTTTCAAACACACAAGGAGGGGGCGGGGGGCAGAAATTGAATCCAGGTGGAAGACTGTATACCTTGCAGTTATTTAACACTATATTAACAGCTTGTTAAATGTTTCACCACTAGTGGAATTATACTGTTTGAATATTATTATTGGAAGACAATTTTGCTCTTTAGTAGTTTATAATTGTGTTTGTGTAAAGTTGTAATATATTTCATATATTTTTTAAACAACATGACAATGATCACCTAATTATTGGTTGTATGTTATTAGGTTAATATCACTAAATTTAAAATCAGATAAATGTCTTTAAATAAAACATTTCTTCAAATTAACTATTATTTATTTAAAGCAGAGTTTAAGACCATGACTTGCTGATCTGATGTTTAGTTATAAACCAAAGAATGCATACCCACAAACCAGTGACAAAACCTTTTAGAGGCCCAGCATTGCAATGCACCAGAATGCCTCACTCGATTGCATAATTTCCGTCGCAGCTGAGCCCAGAGGCTCTGCTGGGAGTGAGGGTTGGGACTGGCCTGGAGCCTAATCAAGCACTGCTTCCCCCAGTATCTATCAGCGTGGTGTCGTCCGAATTTTAACATCCAGGTTCTTTTGGCTGCAGTCGGGATCTAACCACTGATTAGCAGTGCACCAGTCCTGGCTTAAGTCCATGGATATTTTAACAAAGTACCTTTGATGTGCTGGGATATTAATGTTGTCTGTATACTGGGAGCCTTAGCTTGTCTCTCAGTATTCCGCTCAGGGTTTCTCTGTTAAGCTACTATTTTTGGACATGGGACTGTGTGGGATGGGTGGTCAGTTTAAGTTGCTCACTCTAGAGCAGTGTTTCTCAACCCAGTCCTCAGCGAACCCCAGCCAGTCCACATTTTGGCTCCCTCCCAGCCAATCAGGAACACTGAATAGCTGGTACAGGTGCGCTGGGAGGGAGCAGAAACGTGGACTGGCTGGGGTTCGCTGAGGACTGGGTTGAGAAACACTGCTCTAGAGGGACACGTGAGCAGACAGAGCGATTCTGACCCTGAAATGCTTCATCTCACAGCTGCCCATTGGACATGTTAGAAAGCAAGCTTCAGACGACACTGTTCCAATTCACTGCTATTGATGACTCAACATCCATCAAAATCATCCATCAATCTGGCTGTCAGAGCTGGCTAATTATATTTTTTCTTAAAATAAAAGGAATAAATTTGAGGGCAGCAGGGTGGCTCAGTGGGTAGTGCTGTGTGTGTGGTTCTCTCATTCTGCCCATTGTGTCGATTTCCTCCTGCAGCATTATTTGTACATTAATCTGCAGATTCATAAAGAAAATTACAGTTGTCATCTTATGTTTTTACTGAAATTACACCTGTTTTTCTTCAGTTTTCTTGAATTTGATTGCAGTTTATTCAATAATGGCTCTTCCCTTAGAGGAGCTGCTTCTGACAGGCTATGTTGATAGATCTCCCAAAAGGCCTCTCCTGCAGATATGTGACATTGTCTAATACAGCACTAATGGATAAAAGTGATCCATTTCCCCAAAACACTAAACGGGAGACACAGAAAATCTAAATGTATTCTTTGTGGTCTTTAAACAGGGCAACCGGGCATCAACACATAGGTAAAGAGATAAGAATTAATACAGACTTTGCATTTATTTAGCGAAATAAATTCAAAATTGCATATATAAACAGATTATATACACTGTAGCAGTATAGAACACTGGAACTGCCTGATACAAACAAATCAAACCCATTATCCAGACATTCATAGGTAGGGATTGACATAACTGGTATGCAATATGCATTTGTTGTATAAAGGTTTTATATTACACAAGGTTGCATTAGAATCCAACTTAATACAACTTGTAATAAGTGCAACAAGTGCAGTAATTTGCCGTAATAGCACATCTACTTGTCCTATGTGCATTTATGCTGGTATGACACAATTTCTGCACATTTTAAAGTTTATACCATTAATACGTACTTGCATAAGTTAAGTCTATCCCTGTTTATATGTCTCTAAACAAGGAAATATCAGATAAAACAACTGTACTCCACATCAAATTTCCATATTAAAACAGGTTGCATACAAGTCAATTTTTGGATTATGTTTAGGACAACTTTCCAGTCAGTTGTGGTCAGTATATACAAGGGTCTAAAATGTGGTAGTTTAGTTATACATTGGGAAGAGTACACATAGGACAGACCTAGAGATATCTCTCCATCACAAGAAGGTGTTTAAAATTCAATGTGTCAGCAATGGACACTACAGACTGGATGGACTCCTTTGTCCAACAGACTGGCCCACACTGGAGGTTCTGCATATGGCAGCTTCCTCTCAATACACAATAAACAAACAATGTTACACAAAGTAAAAAGAGCAGAAAGCGAAACTGATCTTGTAAACATGAAATAATGCTGTATAGTGTCGAGATTCCTCACCATAGGCTTGCAAAGGGGTCCACGTCTGACTGATACATCGCAAAGTCCACCATCTCACAGTCGCGGGATGACAGCCTAGTATCATCCCAATGGACCTCGCCATCCAACGAGTCAGAGGATGAGTCACTGGTGTCATCCATGAGTGTGTCGTTTACACTGAATGAGGGGAAATCACCAAGGCCACAGGCAAATGTATCTTCGGGGTCTCTGAGCTTTTTCAGGTCTGATCAAGAAGAGCAGAAAATGTAACTGATATGGCAGGGAAACACTGGAATTTGCCCCTAGATACATGTACTTACATTAACTATTTTACATTGTTCACGCACACACACACACACACACACACACACACACATATGGTCTCCTGGGATTTTTGCTAATGTATATAGGTTGCCACTCTTTGCATATATTGCTGCCCACACCCTGCCAGTTTAGAAACATCAAGTTTTCCTATCTGTAGGAATAAATCCACAAACATTGGCAGAATATGCAAATTCCACACACACAGATCTGAGGTCCCAACAGTACAGGTGTGGAACAACAGTGCTACCTGCACGAGTCTCATCCCGAAAATGATCTAGATTTAATGCAATTCTTTACCACTTTGACCTTCAACAGACAGGAAAGCAAACGCCGAAGACCTGACCTTCTGAGCCTTTCAGAAGTGCAGTGTACCCAGACGATGCACCAAACATCCAGTTCTTGCCATAGCACATTTTTCCATCCTTGGGCTCAGAGTCTTCTACTGCTGACAGATTGCTAGCTGATGTGGAAGTGTCCTGCTGGAGCGAGTTGTTTGAAATCAACACACATTCCTCACACACCAATCCATTTAATACTTTGATTTATCCAGGGACACACATTATGATATGTACCAAAATGTACAAACAGCCCATTCACAAGTCAAAATTAGGATTCTGAAAACAGAAGAAACACATTGTGATTAGTAGCATGGTGTTTAACAGAGTTTGAGGGGAGACACAGCTTTTTAAAATGTTCACTACACCAAACGCAACAAATACAAGTTTAGGAGTTGTACCTAAATAGACTTAGTTTTATTTTTTATACCTTTGGGCAAAATCCAGCCAGTTCCTCCTCATTGCTGTTGGCACTGGAGGTGGCACTGTGCCGTCCAGGCCTGAGGAGAGCTGCAGCACAGAAAGAGTTCAGGAACCATGAAGCAGTGCGGGGGGAGGGGTAGTTGTAGAGCTACACCCACCCACACAACGAAAGCACAGCCTGCTAATGAAATTCCAGGGAGCAGAACAGCTGACAACTATGTAAAGACTCCCACCTTCCTGATACTCACACTGATTCTCTTTCTGCTCACATATTAGCCCTGGGGGCTGCATGAGGTCCAGCCAGCGCAGGATAGGCTCTAGCCGCAAATATAGCCAGCACCACACCCTGTGGTGCACTGCCAAAGGGGACAGCAGCAGAGCCAGCACTGCAGCCAAAGAATTGGAAGAGGTACAGGTGGGTATATATTCTGCATGCATATATACACTGTACATATATGTGATGGGGGACAGAAAGGAGCAGGGGGCATGTCTGAGGAATATTCCCAACTAACAGTTTTGGCGAAGTTACTCACAAAAGTAATCTATTACAGACAGATGGGGAAAGTTCAGTCCAGAAAGTACAAATCCAAGCCAAGGTTTTGTTTCAACCAACCACTTAAGTTTGAAGAGTCACAGTCAGAGTACTCAACTGGTTGGTTGAAACAAAACCTTGGTCTGGATTTGTATTTTCTGGATCTGAACTTTCCCCCTGTCTGTAATGGATCACTTTTTTTAAGTAACTTCCCCAACACTGCCTATGAAGCACCTATAAGCAGACCTTAAGCAGGATCTCAAAACCAACAAATGTAACAGTACTCTAGTTCAATACTGGGACAAGAGTCACTTTGATGTCAGCTAGAAGACCCACTAGAAGTCTAGTCTGTTCCCGAATATGGCGTTTTCCTTACAAGAGCTTGTTTTACTCACCAGCAGAGTAGGAAAGGAGAAGCCCTGGAATGTAGCAGCCCAACATTGCCAGGAAGGTGAGGAACCCACAAGCCATGAGGAAAAACTGAGGACAGCCAAGGCGACGAGTCAGTTTCATTTTCACCTTGTGACATCAATTTCAAAACCGGTCAGACACTAATCAACAAGCTTAAAGGAATTTAAGATGATCTCATTTCTATAGCTGGTCTAATTAGCTTGCCAAAGAAGTGACACATTCACAATACTGACACCATACATTTATCAGACAATTTTATTCAGTGATTTACAGTAGAGGGAAGGGTAAAAAATCTGTTTGTGCTCCCAGAGATTTGAACCAATGACCTCTGTATTATTAGCACAATGCTCTACTTGTTGAGCTATAAGAGCCCTGAGCTGAACCGATATGAAGATTCAGTATATTTAAAAATATATGCAAATAAAATGAGAATTTTAGAAAATAATTTATTTTAATTACCAATTTTATCCCCTTTGGCAATGTATTACATCAGTAATCAGTTGCTTTAATGGGTTGGTCAAGGAGCAAACAGTGCCAGAAAAACAATAGTTTGCATGATGATACATCAAAAGAACACCAAGCTGGTATACAGCTAGCCACACAGGACCGGTATGCTCACTTAGAGTGACAAAGCAGTCGGGTAGGAGGGCTCGCACCTTGCCGGGACTGTTTTGTCTGAGCAGCACGAGGTCGCCCATAAGCGATGACAGGTCGACACACATTTCAGCCACGTAGTGACTCAGCTGTGAAACATTGAGGATTCCTGGATGGGCCAAGCTCCTTTTATCACAGAGGCTAAAAATTTCAAGAAACATCCCACAGAGTGACAAATGAGTTTAAAAGCATGTCACCACCTTGCTGAACCTTAAATTTCAAGCACAAATATTTCAAGGTTTCACTTATAGGATCCAGTAACAGTTTATGCTCAGGAACCCCAAATCAAGTACAAAAGGTGTAACTGTGATGAAACTCAAACTCATGCAGAACAATTATCACCAATTTCCAGGCTACTGAAGTCATGAAGTATGCAATGACCCAACTATCATTTATGTTTTTCTTTAAGCAGCATCTCGGGCCTTTATCATAAAGATGGATTTTTGGGTTAGCAAGATAAATTGTCAGATCTAAGATAGTCTGTAAGTGAACAAAGATAAAGTCCATTTAAACCGGGGTACCTTAAATCTGACAAGTTCACCAACTAAGCAAGAAATCTTACTTTGTGATTCAGGCTGCTGGAGTGAACAAAATGAATTTCATTATCTACTGCATATCAATCCAACTATGCAATCATATTTCATACCTGCTTGTCCTATGACAAACTGCTTGAACAGACAAACTATACACACACCGAGTACGGGGTTTAAACCCCTAACCTTGGAGCTGCGATGTAACAGAGCTAATCGCTGAACCACTGTGCCACCAAAAAAATAAATAAATAAAGCAATTTGGTATATTCAGTTCTTTTTAACATTTACTAGAAAAGCAAGGCACAACATTTATGTAAAGAGGAGCAAAAAATCTCAGCTGCAATGAGACCTTTTATTATTTTTTGTTCATATAAAACAGTAAAAAAATAGTATCTCTGAAAAAGACAAATGAAATATAAATCATGACAAAGTGTGAGCAGTTTTAAGACTTAATCACTTAATCTCGTAAAATTACCTGTCATTTTCACAAGGTGGCTCAGCTGTAAAAACAATTAAAGTATATTAGAAACCACAAATTGTTCTTAGTACCTCCAAAGCATGTTAAATAAATCAGTAAACCCTAAAATGATGCCATTAATGTAGTGCAGACAGCATATGAAAATACAAAGGCATTAGAGCAAAGAGAGCAGCACAGTTCCATGGGATGGATGATAAAACGTGAGAGACGGGGCTGGGACTCACATATCACCTGATGCCGGGCCCAGCTCCTCCAGGAGTCGAGGCACACGACCAGGACCAGGCCAGAACACATAATGAACAGCAGCTGCAGGGAGCTCAGGGCAAGGAGCCTGAGGGGAAAGGACACCAAGACAGTCAGCTATAAAGCAAAAATCCACTGGTACCTTGAATTAGTCAGAAAACCCATGGGTGTGTAACCATGCATGTCTTTTGGGGGGGGGTTATTATGTCTCCCCCAATATTGAGTAAATACCAATCTAAGAAAATCGGTGCTTTAGTGCTTGCGTGCAATTGCACCTTAATAAAACACAACAGAAACAATTGCGATAATATTATGTATCTCCTGTGCAAGATAAACACTTACCAGAACACACCGTTTACTACACAGTAAAGTAAGACGCTTTGTAGAGGCCGTTCCCACAGGAGCAGGGACTGTAAGCAGAGCAGCTGCCGGTCGTGCGGTCTTAGCCACTCCCGGATCGCCGTTTGCAGCACCCGGACTCTGGCATCCCTCTCGCTGGAGTATGGGCGAGCCCTGAGCAGGACATCAGCCGTCATCCCTCGCAAACTGCGGCCGTTTTCCATTGCTGGCCTAACGGATATCGCACACTTACATGAATCAGGCGATGCTAGGCAGTACCAGTGCGCGCTTATCGCACCTGGCACCCGCTAGTAAAAGGAAACGTGCAAAAGCCACAGCGCCCACTCGCTAAACTGTTAACTCCCACAGTTCTTCTCACTCTCTAAATTACCTGACTGCCGATGATCCGTAATAATTTCTAGGTTGCCACATTAATTTACCCAACCCATAGTTTCTATATCTGATCTAGATGTTAGCTGCTGTTTTACTTTTACTTGTTAAAGTTAGAGGCAAAATTAAATTAACTTCGATCGTTAAAAACTTCCTTAGAAATTATGGACATAACACCCTCTGGCCAAAAGGTGCTATGATAACTTCTTTATTAGAAGCAATTATCTACAGGCTACAGCTTATTGTAACTGAAACGGCGTTAATGACGTACAGGGCGCCACTTGTCCAATCAGCTGCGTAACCCCTAGTGTCAGGTGTTCAGGTCTGTACTCTGCGCATGCGCTTAGTCTGATAAAACGGCAAACTGCTGGAGAGCGCTGTGCTCTGGAAACTTGTATTGATGTACTGTACGTCTGCTTTCTTAACGCTTTTAGTTTTCACGCATGTCAACGTTTTAATCAATAAATCAACGAATAAAAGACAATTGCAAGAAAATTGGTATATTTCCTGTTTAATATAAACGTTATCATATTGAAGGTAAATTGTTGAAATAAATAATTGTTCATATCTATTAGTAGGCTATCAATGTAAGATATCGAAGGATATGTGTGAACCAAATATGTCTGGTTGTCTAGCGCAATATCCTGTTTCATTATGTTATAGTATTGTGTTGGTGATACTTTTGCGCACATTTATAAATAACGTTTGCATTAGGACAGGAAAATTAAAAGTACGGATAAAACAACGACGCAAGTACAGTAATGTTATTCTTTACGCCTAAAAGCGTTTCACGAAAATTCCACAAGGTGGCGCACCCACTTTTTATGATTAGTATTTTGCAAAGGAGATTAGGAAAACTACGTGCAGACACTTAGTTTTATTTCTCAATATTTCGTTTAATTTATATGTCAATATAGTACTAGGCTGATATATGTTTATGCACTAACTCTATTCATTATTTTGTACATTTCTTTATTCTTGGGGATTTCTCACGACACTTTTTCCAGAATACCTTATGAGTGGTTACAGTAGTGCCTCCATTAACATACGTACCAAAGACTTTTTACCGGCAAATTTCGGCTAATTGTTTTTAAACTTTGTCTTAGAGGGAATCAGTGTTACAGAGCCATTCTCCTGAATTCCCAGAGTCTAAGCAATAGTGTTTGAACATGTAACCTAAGTCTATTGTTATGGTATCTGATGTAATTGAAGTGCTGGTGTGCATAAGGACGAACAGCCCTGACAGCCCTGAATCCAATGCAGTCCACCCAGAAGCGCCTCTCTGGTACAATCGTGTCCTAAAGCAGTCTGGAATCCTAAATCCTTGTGAAAGCAGGACTTAATAGGGAACTAATAATTTGTTTCTGTAGTTGATTGTTTATCCTTAGAATGAAGCTTTAAGTTTTATAAAAAAAATACGGAACACTGTAGTAATCTGTTATTTAGCTGAGATGTTGACATTTTGTGAAAAACACCATGAAAAAGAAAAAAAAATCACCCTGAAAAACTGCTAAACTGATATATGCTGCTTAGAAGGTTTTATAAATAAATAAATAGCCATGGTCTCACCCAACATAGCAAATAAAATTTATGACTTTAAGATGTTTCAACCAGATGTCAGGACACCACTAAGTCAGCAGGTAAGTGTCTCATATAGATATGTCACATGGGCATGTATAATTTTGTTTGTTGACTGACTGTCCAGCCATCTTCCATTTCATTTATACAGTAGAGGGTCACATTCAGCCGGGAGCCTTGCTCTGAAAGCAAGTAGGGCTACCCTCAGGGGAATTTAGAAATACCATTTCCCCTAGCTGTGTGTTTTTAGACAACAAGGGGAAAGCCATGTGAACGTCCAGAGAGCTCACAATCCTGGAGATGTAAAGTAACGCTGCTGAGTCACAGTGCCACTCTCGTCTGATCGTCCCAAAGAGAAAACACTTCTCTGTTGCCTAGACTGCCTCAGATGACTCTTGATAGTTACCTCATCTATGGGACTGTTGTACCAGAATGAAGGGGGTGCTCTCCCCACCCTCGCATGCTACAGTAGGTAGTCGTTATGCTCCATGTTGCTCTGCTTCTCCTGGACTAAATTAGAGTGTTTCTTTGAGACTTGGATTATGAATTTAGCATTTTGTTTTTGTGTTTTGAAATAACCATTTCTCAACCATTTAATCTAATTTTCCTGCTTCTTTCCTGTTTCACATGAGCAAGGAATTTAGGGGAAGGTTAAGCTGGGGAGCCGTGTCTTCTGGCAGAGCCAGATCCCAACGAAACGCAGAATTAGGTGAGGGCGCCACATACAGTGCAGAAGAAAGCATTTAAAACTGAGCAAATGTGTATTCCTAGTGAGAAAGGACCCCCCCCCCCCCCCCAAACACCATGACTTCCTTCCAGCTCCACTTTTAACTTTCCACTTCTGACTCGTTTGTCTTAGGTCTGGTGTGGTTTTTTTGTTTCTATGCACAGGCCGAGGAGAGAGAAAGGGGAAGACTTTCAGGGGCCCAGACACAAGAGGGGACATGAGTGTATGAACATGGGTAATGGTAGCTTTGGTTTAGAGAAGGGAGCTTTTCAGTAGAGCTTTTCTGGGGCCTGGCCATGTCTTTGTGCAGCCCTGTCTCTGTGTGGTTGGGTCCTCTGTGTGAAAGCGAGCCCGGGTGTGGCCAATCAGGTCCTGCCGCTGGGTGTGTGCTGCAGGGTGGTGAACGACAGCACCCGACTGTGTGTATGTGTGTGTGGGGGGGGGTGCCCTTCACTATTGGCTGCCTACCGGGGCTGTGGAAGGAAGCCAGAGAGGCAGTCTATGACCCCTGGGCTCGTGCGTGCCTACACAGGCTCCCTGCAAGCAGCACTCACTTCAGCTATAGTAGTCATTATATTCAGTTGCTAAGCAGATGCTTTTTATACAAAAGAACTTGCATAACTTATTTTTCCATGTTAACCTTTACTTTGACTGACATCCCATCCAGGGTGCACCCCAGCTTTGTGCACTGTGCAACCTGGGACCAGCAACCCTGAACAGGATAAGTAGTTACTGTAGAAGATGGATGAATAGATAAATAGATTACATTACATTCTAAAGCTGGAGATTTTGATGATAATGTTGAGTAGCCTTTTGAAGGTGGCCCACTTGGACATCAAACCCAACACGATCTGGTTGATGGTGACGACATAAAGCACTTAATAACCTGATGTAAGAAATACCACTAATAATAAAAATGACACAATGAGCATCCATTGGTTGTATTGCATATTGCTGAATACTGATCTGTGACATGGCACGATGCTGCATGATTGTATCAGGCAAATATTCTGTTGTGCGAATGGGCTCAACTTAAAAGTGTTAAAAGTGCTGGCTGTGTATCATAGTTTAACCCAGAGAAACTCTTAGCCTACAAGATAGTTTCATCTCCACCCCCTACCCTTCCTCTGCCCCCTTAATTGTGGGGGAGGTATGCACACTGCACTTTTTGGGCCTGTAAATTGCTTCCATACTGAGGCACACCCTTTCTGTGCCGCCCACGTGCAGGTGCCCCGGGAAAAAAAAATCTGTTCCAGAAATAATGTTCTGAGATGTTCCTCTGAAACTATTTTGTTAATCCCTTATTATGTTTGTACATATCAGCTTATAGACACATGCAAATGCTCCATGGGAAACTGACTTCAGTTACTCTTACAGTCTTGTACAGTAACTGTGTGTTTTTACTTTACTTGCTTAATTTGGGTTGGGTTAATTTGGCTGATTGACTACAGCTGATGTGATGTGATGTTTTTTTTATTGAGTGGATTGAGGTCCTTGTATTGTGTAGACCTTTGGGAGAGGAGTTGTTTTTTTCTGGTTAGGTGTTGAAGACATTTATTTGGCTTGGCCATTTATTTTTTCTGTTCTGGTTGTAAGGTATGTGTGTGTGGGTGTGAGTGTTTCTTTGAGGTAAATTCTTTCCTTTGTTTATATTGAGTTCTACTTTTCTTTCCTAATTAAAAGTGCCCCAATAAATTATCACTTGGCTCTGTACTGGTGTTCTTCCTGGTCAGGATGTATGGATTCCCTTAACTTTTATGTCTGGCTCCTTCTCCCTCTAGACTACTTGTTGAGCCTTTCGCAAAAGGGGTCATAACATAAGATTTGTGCAATTGCGTCCTTTGCAACAACCTTCGGTAGTGTTGGAAAATCCTCTTCCGCTTGCCAAGCATATTCCTCTGTTGTAAGCATTTCTCTTCCTATCCGAATTGCCACAGATACACTGCATGTTCTGAGCCCTCTGTTTCCTCAGTCGGCAGGTGTGTCTTTGACAAATGGGCCATAGCTTCTGGGAAGGCAGCACAGTATATGCTATTAATATCTTAATCATTTTTTTTTGGCTATTGCTTTATTGTTTATTATTAAGTCTTATTTATCTTGATCAAGTTCCGAAAATTTTTGATAATCTAAATCATTTGCAATATTCAGAAAAGGTTTAATGAGAAACACATCGCATTAGGCAAAGAGGTTAATTAGATAGTAGAAACTAATCATGGGTGCAGGAAGCAGGCGGAACTGGGAGGAAGCTGCCATAACATCAGAGAATTTTTTTCGGCACACAACTTATCCTTAAAGGATACAGCCATTTTTGTCTTTGCACTGGATTCAAAGTCATGTATTGAATATATTCACAATTCTTCAGTCTTTAAATACAAATCTGAAGTAGGACAATAAAGGTAATAAGACAATGCAATTACATAAACGTGTAATTAAACCAGTGCTGCTTCTGGCACTTTCTGGTACAGAAAGAGGTACAAAATATTCCCTAATTCACTGCTTTCACTCTACCGAGACATCTTGTCTTGGCATTTATTAATATTATTAATGGGGACCATCTCTTGCCCCGTTCACTACATCATGTCTCCATCATCATTGCATATCATTACCACAACCATGTGCTACTTTGCTACACAAACAATGATCTGATTTGATTGCATCAATCACATCCCACCTTCACCCCCCATAACTGGCTACATGCTGCTGACAGCTGACCAATCAGTTAATGGGATTTCCTGAGAGGTCAGAAATACAAAAGGATTGGTCACTGAATTGAAATGGGATCTTAAAGTTATGTAGCTTGTTTCAGGCTCGTGGGAGTTTCACTTATACAAAAATGATTGGTTGAGAGAGAGACAAGCAAACAAACAAAATATTGTGGAGGAGGTGGGATCAAGACATCTGATTGGTTGATCCTGCCCCCTCTAGTTGTTTGGACTCACCTCCTATACAGTCTGATTGG